TATTTATTTATTTATTATGTATACAATATTCTGTCTGTGTATATGTCTCCAGGCTAGAAGAGGGCACCAGACCTCATTACAGATGGTTGTGAGCCACCATGTGGTTGCCGGGAATTGAACTCAGGACCTTTGGAAGAGCAGGCAATGCTCTTAACCACTGAGCCATCTCTCCAGCCCCCCCAGTCCTGTTTTTCTGCATGTATTCATTCTGTGTTTGCATGTGTGTGTCCATGTGCTGCAATACACATGTGGAGATGGAGGACAACCTGTAGGAGTTGGTCCCTTCCTTCCACCACGTGCCTTCTAGGCCTGGTCTGCAGATTTGGTCCAAAGCCAGTCACCCGCCGAGTCAGCTCACTGCGCCACCCTTTGCCCACCTTTCCTTTTGAGTTCCACTCTTGTGGGACATTTGTACACTGTGTGAAGATATATTGCTGTGATTGGTTTACTAAAGAGCTCAACAGCCAATAGCTAGGCAGGAGGTATAGACAAGACTTCCAGGGAGAGAAAGGAAGAAGAGGAGGAATCAAGAGGCAGAAGCCAGGAAACACAGGAAACAAGAGGGTTAAATGGAAGAGAGGAAACACCCTGTGATAGAAAATTCATTCATTCATTCATTCATTCATTCATTCATTCATTCATGCCCGGCAATACTTAAACATGCATGGGCAGTCCGTGTATGGCAGTTCTCCAGTTGCTCCTATCCTGGGCAGTTCCACAGTCTTCCTCTATGCAGTCTATCCAGCGGTTTGGGGCCTTCCTCTTCGCTTATCCCGTGCATTCCTCCAAGCAGCGCTGTCTTCGGGTATCTGCTGTCATTCATTCTCATAACATAGCCGAAGTACCTGAAGTGCCCTTGTTGTACCCTGTAGTTCACTTCCTTCCGTAGATGGAGATGTTTCTTATGTCATCGCCGTGCAGCCTGTCCCTTTGTGTGACACCTAGAATCCCGAGGCATGCATCTCAATCACATTCAGCCGCTGTTTTGAGGAGCATTTCACTGTCCAGGTTTCAGAGTTATAAAGAAGACAGCTCAAGACAAGTGTCTTATATACTTGTAATGTTGTTGTTGTCGTTTATGTCTCTTGCTAACCAAACAAGAGACAAGAGCACATGATAAACCATAGATTAATATAAACGGGTTAATTTCAGTTATGAAAGCTAATCAGGAACAAGCCTAAGCTATAGGTCGAGCTTTCATACTTAATAAGAAGTCTCTGTGTGATTTGTGAGCTGGTGGCCCCAAGGAAAGTCCGAGAACACCCTCTGCAGCCCAGGCTGGGCTAGAATTATGCCTCTGTGGTGCTGAAACTGCAGATGGGAGCCTGTTCAGTCTTATGTGATTCCCCAGAGAATCACACAGTCCCGCTGCTCCCGCAGCTCTGGGTGCTGCATAAATCAAGCAATTTGACTCTAATGTCTCCCGGACACTGTTGCAGGTTGAGTATCCATGTAATAACAACATAAAAGAGTTCTGGAAATTATTGCTAGATTTGATAAGAAAGAATATATTTTCATATGTAATTTTTTTTTTATTTTACTAAGGAAGACAGTACTCTCGACAGTCTTCCAATTTAACTCCTGAATTTAAATGATAGAAACAAAATAGGTTTGAGCTGGAAACCTAGCTGCATCATCTCGGCGTAGTTCCTGAGAACACTGGTTTACAGACTAGAGTACCACAGCAACACCCCAGCTGCACAGACCGCAAACACCCAAGCAGGAGCCCTGTGGAATCTTCTGGTGCCTATAAAATCACATGCGATTCCAGGCATGGCAGAGAATATCTGTAATGTCAGCCTCAGGAACCTGAGGCAGGAGGATCGCTGTTTGAGGCTAACCTTAGCTACATAGCAGGTCCTAGGCTAGTCCCAGTTAGAGTGAGACCTTGTCTCAGAAAAAAAAAAAATTAATTAAAGCTCTCTGAATTGGTAAAAAAAAAGTATTTAATTTTCTTAGATGGGTGTAGAAGCTCACACTTTTTGTTTTGTCTTTTGAGACAAGGTTTCTCTGTAGCTTTGGAGCCTGTCCTGAAACTCACTCTGTAGACCAAGCTAGCTTTGAACTGGCCTGCCTCTGCCTCCCAAGTGCTGGAATTAAAGGTGTGCACCACCACTGAACTTGGGCAGCTGCAGTAGAAGCATTGTCATAAATTTGGTTTCGTTTTTGGTCATCCCAACAAGGACAGAGAAGGGAAGATTCTGGAGACTTTCCTGACCAGACAGTCTAGCTGAATTGGCAAACTTTAGGTTTAACGGGAGACCCTGTCTCAAGAAAATATGACGGTGCACACCTTTAATCTCAGCACTCGGGAGGCAGAGGCAGGTGGATCACTGAGAGTTTGAGGCCAGTCTGGTCTACAGAGCAAATTCAGGACTATACAGGGCTACACAGAAACCCTATCTGGAAAAAAACCAAAACGAAATGAAAGAATAAAGCAAAAGTGAAAAAAAAAAACCCTCCATATTTTCAATGTTTGCAATGAGCTCCTCTAAACAGCTAAATATGAAATAATCAATCCCTAAATATGTATAATGCAACATAAGTCTTCTGTTCCCTTAAATTTCTGGTTATGGATCGCCAGATGGTTTAGCAGGGAAAGGCACTTGCCTAAGAACCTGGTCAGAATTAAATTCCCAAGAATCCACATGGTGGGGAGATTCCCACAAGTTGTCCTCTGACCTTCAAACAATTTGAACTAGAGTGAACACACACACACACACACACACACACACACACACACACTCTCATACATATGCGCACGTGCACGCGCATGCGTGGGGAGACATTTAAAAATAAGCAAATTCCTGATTATAGCTTTTAAGTTTGTCACAAAACAGATTTACTACACTTAGGTTTTCAAAATTATCTTGGCATCTATCAATTCCCTTGCAAGCCTCTGTGGACTTGAGCTAACCATAATTAGACCTAGCCTTCCAAGGAAGAACTGACGGACCCTGGGGATATGGGAGTGTTCCAGAACAGAAGACCACAGAAGACCATTGGGTCACCTGGAGGTTGTGGCGCAAGCCTTTAATCCCAGCGCTTGGGAAGCAGAGACAGGAGGATCTCAGTGAGTTCGAGACCAAGCTCTGCTACAAAGCAAATTCCAGGACAGCCATGTCTGTTACACTGAGAAAACCCTGTCTTAAAAAACCAAGGGTGTGGGGAGGGTGGAGACCAACAGTCCTAAAAGGAAAGCTCCCTTTGAAGACTGTCAGCAGACTTGGTGGCTGAGGAAGGAGTTTCACGAGTTCAAGGTCAGCCTCAGGCGGCTGGAGTCTCTACCTTCCCCCAAATAGTGAGATTTATGTTGTTGCTGTTGTTGCGGGGGTGGGTGGAGTATACATTCTTTGAAAACCTTTTCAAAACGCAAAGAAAGGTCTCTGGTCTTAAGTGGAGGAGAGAATAAGAGAACTACAAAACCTAAGAAAAATACTATATGTTATGTTTAAAGATGACTAAACTAAAACAGTGGGCTAGTAGCAAGAAGTAGGTAGCAAGCACCAGGCCCTGGAATGGAATCGATTCCCAGCCCTGGGGACAAGGAGGCAGGAACAGAAATTCAAGGTCATCCTGAGCTAGAGTTGGAGGCCAGCCTGGGCTAAAAGCAAACAAGAAATCTTTAGCAAATGACTCCCTTTATTAGCCTTTCGCAGTTGACTTGGGGTCAACTGCTTCACTGGCGATTGCTAAGTGGGCTGCAGTGAACGGAGGGACCACAGGGTCCCAGGAGGTTAAGGGCTGGTGATGAAGTAGCTTAAATTGTGCAAAGTCGAGATAGCCTTCCAGTAAGGCTGGTCCCGTGCAGCTTCGTTTACAGGAAGGCTCCAGGGGCCCTAAGGGGTCGACCTTGAGTTCCCCGTCTGTGAAATGGGGGCGGACTAGGCAGAGGGAGCCGGGGCACAGGGAGGGAGGTGCCGCGCCAGCAACGGAAAGCAGCCGCGCGGCTCCGCAGTTTGCAGGAAGTGCTTCAGGCTTGGGAGGGAGACGGAGGGCGGAGGCGGGAATGTGAAAGCCGAGCCCTCGGCTGCGGAGTTTGTACCGGAGCTCGGCAGAGGCGGGGCGAAACTGGGGTGAAGGGGTTAGCCAGTGGACGGGCCCGACCGGCCACCTGCCCCGAGGGCAGCGCGCGGGCTGCGGGGGAGGCTCGGAGGTGGCGGCTGAGCGCCGTGGGGGGAGGGGAGCGGCGAAGTCGCTCGGGAAAGGGGCGGGAAGCGCGCGCCCTCCCCGCCGCACGCATGCGCGCCGCGCTCCGCCGGCAGGCTCGCGGCCGCTGAGCGGCCAGCACCGACGGTGCGCACGCTGGCAGAGGAGGAGCCGTGCCGCCCTCCCCGCGACGCGCGGCCCCCCGAGGCCTGCAGGGGGCCCCTAGAGGGGGCGGGCGGACACCTGTTTCTTCAGTTGGGGGTTAGGGAGCCGAGGCAGGGGACGCGGGCCCTCCCCTCCCCTCCCCCACGACGAGCGGGGCGGGAGGTCCGGGGCGTGTTACCGCGAGTCCGCTCCGGGTTTTCCCGCCCACTTTAACTCCGTGAGCGCTTCGACCGCGCGGCGCTTCACTCTAGCGGGCGCGCCCGAGTCCTCGGCCGGAACTCGTTGTGCCACCCCCTCACATTCCCCCCACCCCACCGGAACGGAAAGTGAGCTCGCACCCCTCTTCGCCCTCCAGTGTCCCCGTTCCGGCCTTCAGTGCCTATTTCCTCAGGGTTCCCACCCGGGCCGGCCCTGGCAGTTCCTGAGAGGCCCCCTGACTCAGGGCGCGCGGAGGAACTACTTAACGTGTCCGTGCGCCCGGCGGTGCGGCGCGCTCGGAGCTCTTCCTGGAAACTCCCGCCTCGGGGCGCCAGGAGAGCCGGCCGGCCGGGGGGAGGGGTGCGCGCCAGGCCCCCCCCCTTCCCGGGGTAGGGCTCGGCGTCCCCGCCCTTCTCCCGGCCGAGGGGAGGGGCGCGCGGGGGAGGGGAGGGCGCGGAAGCCGAGGTGGGGGCGCTTCCCGCCCCACCCCGCCTCCAGAACAACGGGTTCCCGCTGCTGCCCCCTGCCGCCCGCCGCGGCTTTGACGGAGGCGTCGGGGGGCGCCGCTGCCGTGGGAACCGGACCCGGCACGCACGCTCTAAACCTGCCCGGGGTTCCTGTCAGAAAACTTGCGGCTACTTTCGAGAAGCCGGTTGCGGCCACATGTCACTTAGCCTGGCCACCTCTCTTGTACTTTAAAACAACGGGGAACGGGCTGGGGCGAAGCGTTGCGCGGCTCTCACTCCGGAAACCAAAGTACGGGTTGTGGGGGGTTTTTAAAGGGCTACCAACCGCGGGAACTCGGGATTGGCAGTTGAGACCATTTTCCTCCGCTTGTGCGTACACAAAAGTCAAAATCGGGAAGGGTGATTGCAGCCCGCATGACTGCGTTTCCTTGACTTTGTGCTTGGGGGGGGGGCACAAAACCTCGTGGCCTCTAAAAGAGGCACGCCGCTTTCTGAATCCGAGACCGAGAAAAATAATTCGAGAGAGCTTGGAAAAGTTCAATGAGCAAGCTACATTTCGACATTTCCCAGATTTTGCAATATTTAACTGGGTTTGTGCCAACTTGCTGCCAAATTATAAATTTCTCAAGATGAAGGGTGTTCAGCCAAATTGCTGCCAGGCCCCGTAAGCAGAAGCAGGCACGAACAGCACTGGCTTAATTACACCTTTTCTTTCTCTCGCAGCCTTATTTAATTCGCCGCCAGATGAAGTCCTCATCCCGGGTGTCACTAACTGGCCCTTTTCTGGGGCTGAACAATCACACCCTTCCCATGCCTCAGTAGCTCCAAGAATTGTCTAAACCATCACCCTCTGGTTCTGTTTTCTAGTCGATCTTGTCCTAAAATGCAACCCAATCAGGTAAATTCTTTTCTTTCTCGGGGTCTGAAAAATAAAGACGACAGAAACAAACATCAGACTTGCAAGAAAATGTTGTTCTCTTAAGAAGAAAGGTTTAGGCCAAGAGACCAAATTTGTTGTTTAACGTGAACCCCTGAAGGGGATTAGGCGTAGTGAGCTTGAATGCGGTTAAACCAGCTTAATCACTTTCTTTGTTCTGGCTGTTCCATTTACTTAATGTGTTTGAAGGTGATTTGACACAACTTTAAACTAATTTCTTCGATGTTAGTGTAGTCTGCCCACGAACCGTGCTTGCACTATGACAAGGTATAAGCTGCCTGTGGGACCCTTGACGTTTTCTAGAATTCTGTGTCGAGCAGCTGTGGTGGTTTGAGAGATAAAAAGGGAAGCTTGGAAGGGAAAGGAGAGGTCATGTTTTCTTTTTTTTTTTTTTTAACCTGAAGACTTTAACCATTTAGCCCACTCTTGTTAAATCCAGCTCGGCTCCACGTTTGCTTATTTTTGTCTGAAATGGTTGTTTTTTTTTTTTTTTTTTTTTTTTTTTTNTCGGCTCCACGTTTGCTTATTTTTGTTTGAAATGGTTGTTTTTTTTTTTTTTTTTTTTTTTTGGTTTGTTTGTTGTTGTCGTCTCTGTTTGGTTTATTGTCTTCCAACAGGCAGGAAAGGAAGCTCTAACTCCTGCTCTGGTAGATTCCAGGACCTCTAGCCTTTACTCTTCCTCTTAAATAACAATTGTACCCTACTCCTTGCTAGCATCAGATTGAGGGGCATTCATTCACAAATGACTCCTGAGCCTCTGTAGTGTCTGCTTCCTTTAAGCCAAAACCTCCATACCAATGCTTAAAGACCTCAAGCTTGCAAAGATGCAAGCAGAAAAACCCCAGTGCCTGGGAGATGGAATCTTGATTCTGTTGTACCTTTAAATCTTTTTACAATGTGAGGGAATAATAATAGCTGTTTTTAACTGTGAGAGCTAGACCTTGTTCTAAATGCTTCAAGTAATTGTACTCCTCTCAGTAGGTACAAGAGGTGGCCACTGTTGCTGCCACCGTTCTACAGAAGGAGCAGTTACCAGGAACACCCAGCCTGAGAACAACAGATCTAGGATTTGAATACTGGCTGTTTCCAGCTGCTTCCTGTCACCCAAGCTGATCCTTATTTAACTGTCCATGGAAAGAACAGTGACTCTGAATTCTCCACTTTTCCACGGAGGATGTCATCTATAATGTGAGCAGCTCCTTGGTTAGGCCAGGCGTTTTTCCTATGGAACTTCAAGAAAGTGAAATTTGAGACCTGCTTAGAGGAAGCATTCCCAAATCAGATTACTGTCTTGGAAACCAGCCTCCGACTGTCAGCGTGTGCATTATGAGTGCTAACCAGGAGAGACAGCGTCCCGACAGCGGGACAGTGGTGCTTTGGGACATGCCTACCACCTGTTAAAAGAAGCAAGCCGCTGGGAGGACAGCTTGGTACTCTTAGGCTAGTGCAGGTAGAGGTCAGAAGTGAAAGTGGGAAGAGAGGAGGAGATGGAAGACTCGAGAAAAATTAGTGTAGTGTATATGCACTTGGGATCTGTAATCCACTGCAAAGAATGAGGATCAAGGTCATGCAGAAGAGAGCGTGTGGGCATGTTGTGACAGAGCCACAAAGGGAACATAAACATGAAAACTCAGCACAAGGCAGGTAAGGTGTTGGGGAGTCAGAACGGCTTTTCTCTCCAAGTGGAGCTTTGGAACAGGAGTAATTTTAGATTGGATTAATGGAAATACAGCCTCCGGAACAGCGGGAAAAAGCCGCTCTCAACTCTGTGAGACCATTCCTAAGCAACACATTTTCCTCTAAGTGATGTAATGAAAACATCTGAAGCAGGGAGAAGGCTTGAACCCTGCCCGACCAAGAAAGCTGGATTCACGAGTGATGGAAAGCGATTAGACTTATTAAGTATGGTGTGGTTGCATGAGCCTGTAATCCTAGCACTATGGAGGCAGAGGCTGGAGGATCACTACAGGTCTGAGGCCAGCCTGATCTATATAACAAGTTCCAGGCTAAGACCCTGTCTCAAAAAGGAATCTAACTTGATCAGGGCCAAAGCAGGGCTCTAGAACAGATGGGATGGTACTTTAGACACATATTCTAGTTTAGAATAAGGAAGAGGTCCTGTAAATGTAATCTAGGCCGTCTTAGAATGGAACAAAGTCTGTATGACTAGCAGCACTGGAAATGTATATTATCGGGAGCCTATGTGACACTGTGCCTGTCCCAACATGGGCCATTTTCTGGGATACTATAGAAAGTGGGAGAACAATATAACCTGTCTCATAAGGCTGTTGAAAAGCATAGGATTAACACTGCTTTGTTTTGTTTTTTAAGATTTATTTTATTTATATGTAGTGTTCTGTCTGCCTGTATCCCTGCAGGCCAGAAGAGGGCACCAGATCTCATTATAGATGGTTGTGAACCACCATGTAATTGCCGGGAATTGAACTCAGGACCTGTAGAAGAGCAGCCAGTGCTCTTAACCTCTGCGCCATCTCTCCAGCCCCCCACTGTTTTATTTTTTCCAGAAACAGTTTCTCTGTGTAGCCCTGTCTGCCCTGAAACTTGCTTTGTAGACCAGGCTGGCCTCGAACTCAGAGATCCACCTGCCGCTGCCTCCCGAGTGATGGGATTAAAGGTGTGCAGCACCACCGCCCAGCAATTAGCTTTGTTTTAAAGTCTACAGATAAAACATTCTTGAAATTATAGGGCTCCATTTGTTCATCTTGGTGTTTTTGCTGGAGTTGAAGGCAGCACCTTGCACATGCTAGGCAAGCTATGCGGGAGCTGCATCTCCAAGTCTTTACATTTTGAAAGAAAGTCTAACCTGGGCAGTGGCACATCCTTTCATCCCAGTACTTGGGGGAAGCAGATCTTTAATCCCAGTTGAGAGGCAGCTGGATCTCTGTGAGTTTGAGACCAACCTGATCTACAAAGTGAGTTCCAGGACTGCTAAGGGTGTTACGCAGAGAAACCCTATCTCAAAAAAACAGAAAAGAAAAAAAAAAAGGAGAGTCTCACTACATACAATGCTACCATAACAACCTCTAAGGTTCAGTATTTGTGACTTTATCAGAGCAATTTTTTTTTTCAAGACAGGGTTTCTTTGTGTAGCCCTGGCTGTCCTGACAGTCACTCTGTAGACCAAGCTGACCTCCAACTCAGAAATCTGTTTGCCTCTGACTCCTTAGTGGTGGGATTAAAAGCATGTGCCACCACTGCCCAACTGAGAGCAATTATTTGATCTTGTGCTTATAGATTTATTTATTATATTTTGAGGCCAGGTCTTCCTGTGTAGTCCCTGCTGACTTGGAACTTGAGATCATCCTGAGTCCTCTGCTAGGCAAGCAGTCTACCATTTGTGTGTGTATTTTACTTCTGGGAAAAAGCAAACAAAATTAGGCCTGGATGCATTGGAGAAATAGCTCAGCAGTTAACAGCACTGGCAGAAAACACGGGTTCATATTTTAGCACCCACACAGTACCTTAAAACCACCTGTAGCACTGCTGGGGATGGTGGTACAGGCCTTTAGTCCCAGCAGAGGCAGGCAGATCTTTGTAAGTTCAAAGCCAGCCTGGTCTAGAGAGTGAGTTCCAGGACAGCCAGGGTTGTTAATACATAGAAACCCTGTCTCGAAAAAACAAAAAGGAAAAAAAGAAAACAAAAAATAGTGACTGCCATATACCTCCCTCCCCCATTTTAGGTGTTCACTAGAGGACCATACCTTAAACTCGCTTTGTCCTATAGAAAGAAACCGGCTTTAACAGGACTGTTGAGTGTCCTTGCTGCCAACACAAGGTAAAAATCATTTCACTTCTCTCTCCTTCCCTTCTGTTTTTCTCTTCATGCTTTAATCATTTTGACACCAGGCTGTACAAAAGTAATTTAAAATTAAAATGTCTGACACTTGGAGGCTGGCAGAACCTGATTCTGAACCCTGCCCCCTCTCTGGGGCAGCCAGAAACCATCTTTCATTGGCTACTGGTCCTGTAGCAGCTGATGAAGGGCCCAGGAAACACATCCAACAATTAATTTGCTAATTTAGTTTTCTGTCTAATTTGAAACCAGAAAACCCTCAATCACCCAGGAGCCTGGCTCTCTGGCTCCAGTGCTGGCTTCTGAAACTTCCTGTCTTGTAGCTCTCAGAGAAACAGAAAAGGAGAGATTTTACCTTGTTAGGCACATAACATTCTCCAGTGTGTCTTCTAGTGGTGTTCTGTAGGGTCATAGTTCACAAGTAGTGTTACCAGGAGAACTGGAAAACAATACATTCAGAAAGTGTTCAGTGTGGTCAAACTGCTTCCTGAATCATGGGGAATTTCCAGACCAATATGTGTTAGAAAAGTCAGGTTTCTGACAACTCAGATGGGTCTCTGGCATAGAGGCAAAGCCATGCTGTGGTCAGTCAGCCTCCTCGGGAACATTCCTGATAGCTTCATTGGGATGGGGCAGAGTAGTTGTGTGAGACTAGAGAAAGTGGCATCAGTGTGGGATGGGACTGCAGACTTAGGCAGCCTTCCGCAGACCCTCACTGGCCTTTGCCTTCTGGAGGGCTCAGCCAAGAAGCAGTGGTAGGATTCACTCTCAGATACACTGCAGAATCTGCCCCTGCTGCCACTTGGAGAATCCTTTGCTGTTAGTGGCCTCATCTGCTTCCTCCATTCCCACCCCAGGCAGGTTGAACTCTTCCGCCTGATGTCTTACATCTTCTATATCTTGGCTCCACCAATCCCTAATTGGAGCTGCTCATGAGTACATATTCAAATCTGGCGAGACTCCTTGTTCTCAGAACATACTGCTCTGGCTCTGCCTCCAAATCCTTTCCATTTCCCATTTCCTAGTGACTTTCCTCCCTGTGCCCCTGGTGCCT